GCCAGCCACGGCAATCCCCAGAGGAACCCCACTATGCTGGGCATCATCCTGACAGGGCAGGAAACCTGCAAGTCTACATGGGCAGTAACAACCAAAATGAATTTTCTGAGCAGTGGGCTGCTCAGCCACCACAGAGTTAAGTAATTCTCTGCATCCCCAAAGGAGTCGTAAATCCTGGATACTGAAAAATGTGGAGAATGCCAAAGCTTTAAGCTTCAGGGTCTTTTGACCTTTAATCCTAGAGACAAACTCTGCACCCTGCAATACATCCTTCCCTGCAGTATCTGCTGAGAAGAAGGACCAAGTAAACAGCTCAGGACAAAGCCCGCCCTGCACCACATCCTCTGTCTCCTCAGGCTGCTGCTGCTGTCACCAGGGATCAATGCGATGGGAACGGAGCGTCCCAGGCTGGCCTGTGCTGCGCCAGTGCCCTCTGCTGGCTCCTGCCCACCGGCGCCCAGGCAGCACAGCCTCCCCTTCCTGCAGCCACACCGCTCATCTCGGAACACAAGATCCTCCTGATGAGAGTGCACTGCCTAGCAGAAAAGAGTTGAATGAATTTATACATACTTTTCAGACAAGAAGGGGTTTCTGGACTTCTTAGGCATTGTTCTTACAGGCTTGTTCGCCACCTCTTCCCCTTTCTCTTCTTCTGATCCATCACTTTTTCCCTTAAAAAGTAAGCAAAAAAGAGAAAAAAATCCCTATAGACAGACTAAACCAGGCAGTTTTGTGATTCTGGTGTTTCTGTTGCCTTCTTGATTTCATCCTGTTTTGTGAACCATCTAGTCATGGATGAAGTTCTTTTAATTCTCCATATCCCTCACTGTCCAAACCTCAGGGTTTCTTAATGCAGCCCCTCAGAAACAGACAACCAGTGAGAAGTCCTACAGTAATCCACCCTAAGATCCAAAAACGTCAGCATGATCTTAATGGCCATGCAACTGAAGTCTAATCTATGAACTGAAAATTTCAGCTTTTTTTTCTTAAATTGCTATCAAAACCTCTTTAAGTGGATTTTCAGATTAGAAGATGACCTTACAAATGTAAAATGTTAACACAGACACTTCCTCAAAGAGCTCAAATCCAACCATGAGTCATGAAGATCAAAAGGATCAAGTCAACGGTGCCTGAAAGCCCCTACAAAACACATTATGAGATCTCAGTTACAATACATTTTGAGAATAAAAGCAACTGCAACCAGAACTGAATGGTTTCCTTATTTGCGGTTCAAGCATAGGATCATGGAGACAAAAATCCCTCCTCATGCCAATAGTAACTTTTCGTGGACAGAACAAAGGAAAGAGGTTGAGGATAGCCATGCAGCGAAGTCTGAAATCTTGCTGCTTGTGTCGTATCAGCTTTTAAAATATTACATTCTCCACATCCAGTCCTGTGACACCTTTCACTTACAAAAGGTCAGTTGGGACTAGCCAAGGAGTCCAGGGAGGTCTGGAGTAAGCTGTTCACACGGGACATGTTGGGCTTCCAAGAAGGAACAAATAAATGGTGGAGGAATGTGAAAGTTATTAATTTCCCTTTTCATCCCTGCTCCCCGTCAGCTGCGAGTCTTTGGGCATATTCAGGGAGTACCAGCCCTACCCAGCCAGCCCCAAGAATGTTCATGGCTGATACAATCAGAGAGGCAGCAAGAGGCTTTACCACAGGGGTGGTCAGTCCCAGTTGGCGTGCCCCTGAGAGGTCCAGGTCACTGATGGTGGTCACTGTTACAATGTGGTTTGGGTGGTCAATGTTCACAGACTCTGTCCGCGACGTCACCAAGTGCTCCAGTTCATCAGCCTCATCTGGGGAGACAAGAAATCCTGTATGCAAAGTGCCCGACTTTTCACAAGGTATGGTCACTTGTTCCTGTACTGCTAAACTGGAGACCCAGCCTTTGCATGCACGGTTAAAGGGCAGAGAGGCCTGAATACCGATACCACAAGTACGAAGGGCAAGCTCCTTCTCCCAGCAAAGGGGACCTGGTAACACCTCGGGGATGTCCTCCTGCTTGTTCCTTTCTGTACAACCCACCTGACCCCTCCCCCCCCGCCTTCCAGCCAGGGACAGAGAGCTGAGGGGGTCACCCCTCCGATCGCTGCCCGGCTTCCCAGGGGGACTCAGGAGAGCCGATCCCACGGGATGATGTGCGAGCATCCCTGCTCCAGCTCCCATCACCCAACCAAAGGTGTCAGCCCACGGGCGCCCACCTCCCGCCCCTCCCGCAGCCGCCCCGCCGCCGGGGGCCCGGCACGTACCGAGCGCCTCCTCCCTCTCGCTCAGCATCTTCAGGTACTCCTGGTGCCGCTGAGGGAGGGAAACAGGTCACTGTGGCGCCTCTACCGCTCCAGCCGCCCGCCCTCCGCCCCGGGACGGCCCCGTCCCCCTGCAAGCGG